CGTGGCAAGCAACCTACTTCGAAGCAAGAGCTCCTCCACGCAGCCTTCCGAAGCAAGAAACTATCCGCGACTCCAAGATGGCTTCCACCTCGAAATTCTCGTCTTCCCTACCGGCATTCAACCCAGAAACAAACGACTGGGCCGCATACGTGGGAAGATTCGAGCTACACCTGGCCGGGAATGGGCAACAAGGCATTCCTGGGGATCAGAAGAAGGCCTTATTCCTTGCGAAATGCGGAGACGAGGTCTACCACGTGGCCCTCTCCTTGGTCGCTCCAGCCAGCATCGAGGACACTCCTTGGGCAGATATCCAACATCTCCTGGCTGGTCAGTACGGGATCTCCGAAGGGTTCCTAATCGCAAGGAACCGCTTCTACAACCGACGACAACGGGCGAGCGAACCCATCAGAAAGTACCTCGGAGAGCTCCGATCGATCGCAGCCCGTTGCGAGTTCGTCGCCCTGGAAAATATGCTGCGGGATCGACTCGTCATGGGGATGAGGGACGAGCACGTGAAAAAGCGACTCATCGTGCGTCAAAGTCTCACCCTCAGCGAAACCCTAGACGAGGCCCTTGCCGCAGAAGAGTCCGAATCCACGGCCACCGAGATGAGACGGGGTGACATCCATCGCACCCATCGCGAGCCAACCCCCGATCCGAAGGCCACCGAATCGGACGAGGCCGGCGAGGAAGAGACCGTCCATCGCACCTTTACCAGCCGGAAGCAGCGAGCATGGCGAGACGAGCAGGACGACCTCGAGTGTCCAGGGTGTGGGGGGAACCACACACGAGCAAACTGTCGGTTCCTAGACACCACATGCAGCCTCTGCCTGAGGCGAGGACACATCGCAAAAGCATGCCGAGCCCCGCGCCCAAATTACAGGAAACAGCGTTCGCCCCCACGGAGGCACATGTCTCCACCACGACGATCCCCACCGTGCCGCTCACCGCCACGCCGCTCACCGCCCCACAAACCACGTGAGAACAAATGGAAGGGGTCAGCCCGACCCGAAGGGAGGCGTGACCAGAGAAGGGGCTATGACGACGACCAGGACGAGCGTAAAGTGCATCACATGGTGGTCAGCCACACCAACTCGACTGGCGCGGAAAAGTTTTTCGCAACGGTCATGATCGGGAGGCAACCATGCAAAATGGAGGTGGATACGGGATCCATCTGTTCCATCATGTCGTGGGACAAGCTCAAAAGACTGCTGCCGGAGCTGTCCCACACCGCCCTGGAGAAACCTACAGGACGGCTCGTAGACTTCAACGGCCACAATCTTCGCGTGCTAGGTCGAGCACGGGTGGACGTCTCGTTCCGGGGACACAAAGCTCGCCTGCCGCTAACTGTTGTGGAGGGCCATCGACCCACCTTGCTCGGCGTCGAGTGGCTCAAACCCCTGAGCCTGGGATTCACCGGCCTACACAGAATCCACAAGGAGGAGTTCGAGCAGCTGTTGGAGGAGTTCCCGGATGTGTTCGACGGCTCACTGGGTAAATACCAGGGGAAACCCATTTCTCTGAACTTAGATCCCAGTGTTGCCCCGATCCGATTGAAGCCCCGCCGTGTCCCTTTCGCCCTACGACACAAAGTGGACGAACAGCTAGACAAACTGCTAGCCCAAGGGGTCATCGAGCCGGTGGACCACACCAAGTGGGAAATGCCCATCGTCCTCCCCCTTAAGCCAGATGGATCCTTGCGGGTGTGTGCTGATTACAAAGGGACCATCAACAAGGCGTTACAACCCCACGCGTATCCCGTCCCCGTAGTACAGCATCTTTTACACTCGGGGGACGGGAACGTGTTTGCGAAGCTGGATCTCGCTCACGCGTACCAGCAGTTGCCAGTGGACGAAGCCACCGCAGAAGCCCAGACCATAGTGACTCATCGGGGGGCGTTCAAATGCAACCGACTCCAATTTGGGGTGAGCGTAGCCCCAGGACTTTTTCAGAGAGTTATGGAACGGTTGCTGCAAGGCATTCCGGGGGTGGTGCCATATTTCGACGATGTCCTCATCTCCACGACATCGAGAGACCAGCTGAAGGATCGCCTGCGCCAAGTCCTTAGTCGGTTTCAGGCCCGGGGATTGAAAGTAAAAAGGGACAAATGCAAACTAGGTGTCCCAAGGGTAGAATTTTTGGGATTCTTGATCGATGGCCAGGGCATCCATCCCACAGACGAAAAAATAAAAGCCATAAAGCAAGCACCCACACCCAAAAATAAAACAGACTTGCAGGTGTTTTGGGGACTATTAAACTTCTATGCTGTCTTTTTAAAACAGAAGGCAACAGTAGCGGAGCCGCTCCACCGACTTTTGGGAAAGGCGACCATGTGGACCTGGGGCCAGAGGGAAGCACGAGCTTTCGCAGCGGTTAAGGACCTGCTCACGTCATCCAGCGTCCTAACTCAGCACTCGGACACCCTCCCGCTCCAACTCACATGCGACGCATCACCTTTTGGCATCGGAGCCGTCCTCAGCCACGTTCTACCCAACGGCAGAGAGGCACCGATAGCCTACTATTCCAAGACTATGTCCCCAGCTGAGCGAAACTACAGCCAGCTGGACAAAGAGGCCCTCGCCATCGTGGCTAGGACAAAGCGATTCCACGAGTACCTATATGGAAGGCATTTCCGGGTCATCACGGACCACAAGCCTCTACTGGGACTACTGGCGGGGGACAAACAGACTCCCCAATTCCTGTCACCCAGATTGATCCGTTGGTCGATATTCCTTGCGGGGTACGACTACGAGTTGATCCACAAACCCGGGGCCAGCATCAGCCACGCAGACGCTCTCAGCCGATGCCCAACACCCGGCCACATCGCCGACCCAGCACCGCTTGCCACCATGCTCCTGGTGGACGTCGACTCCTCCAGCCCGGTCACCTCGAGAGACGTCGCAGAGCACACCAAGAAAGACAAACTGTTGGGAAGGGTTTTGAACTGGGTGTTGAGGGGGTGGCCGCAGGAGGCGGAAGGAGAGGACTCCAAGCCGTTCTTCGCCAAAAGAACGGAACTCTCGGTGTGTAAGGGTTGTGTACTATGGGGGAAAGAGTCGTGATCCCACAAGCCCTACGAAAAAAGGTGATTAATACCTTACACGTGGGGCACCCGGGGATCGTGCGTATGAAAGCGCTGGCTCGGAGCTATTTGTGGTGGCCACAGCTGGACAAGGACATACAGGAGTGGGTAGCCACCTGTGAGCCTTGCCAGGAATCCCGCTCAGCCCCACCGAAAGCAACCCCATTGGAGTGGGAGATCCCACGAGCACCGTAGTCCCGTCTCCACGTTGACTTTGCCGGCCCCGTGGAGGGCCGATCTTATTTAATAACGGTGGATGCCTACTCGAAGTGGTTGGAGGTGATCCCCATGCTGTCCACCACAACGAGTGCTACCATCAAGGCCCTGGACGGACTGTTTGCGACCCATGGATTACCAGACGTCCTGGTGTCTGATAACGGGCCGCAACTAACCGCGAAGGACATGGAAGAGTTCCTGGCGAACTTGGGCATCCGTCACACGCTGATCGCGCCCTATAGCCCTCAGAGCAACGGACGGGCGGAACGGATGGTGAGGCTCACCAAGGAAGCGCTCACCAGAATGGGGGCCAGCGCACGGCAAGAAACGCTCGAACAGTTCCTCCTGGCACAGCACAACACACCCTGCGCCACTGGCCGGAGCCCAGCGGAGATGTTGATGGGTCGCCGACTGAGGTCACCCCTGGATCGCCTCCATCCCAGCTACCAAACGGACACACCACCGGAATCCAGAAAGGTAACTCGGGGTTTTACGGAGGGGGATTTAGTGTATGCCCTTAATCACGCGGGGGAGCCGAAGTGGGTGAAAGCGACCATCATCTCTATCACCGGGCCCAGATCCTACGAAGTTCGCGTGGAGGACAACCGGGTTTGGCGGCGCCACCTTGATCAACTGAGGGGCCGAATCGGGGTCGCTGGGTTACGCCAAGAAAGCGTGGCCGACAACACGGGCGGGGCCAGAGACAATGGTGGGGACGAGTATTGGCCATTGGTTCCACCCGTCAGTCAACCACCTCGAGAAGGGAGGCCCATTGCAGCGGCCCGAGGACAACCACGCAGAGGGAAGAGTACCGAGGCAAGAGCTGAACCGAGTCACACAGTTCCCCGCCGATCAACGCGAGGGCATCGGCCTCCCACATATCTGAGGACTATGTAACCACTATTCATCAAGGACGATAGCAAGAACTTTGAGGGGAGGGGTGTTGTGTTCTTTTGTATTCCCCCCCCCTTAATCCCCTATGCGCATCCTGATTACCCATTAAGGGTGATTGCCCTTCTCCATCTGCATACAGTTTCATGCCCGTTGCTGGTTGGCTAACTCGCAACGGGGTCTTACCAGCCAATGGAATTGTGTGATTACGAGCCAGGGGAATCCCATAAAAGAGGGCTCCCCTGGCCCAGAGGGCAGTCCGGATTTATTTTATGCCTTGCCAATAAACCGAGAGCTGACTGTCACTCGACTCGTATCTGACTGCCTGCGCGATCCAACACTAACCAGGAGCCACCTTGCTTCCCATTGAGAGGTAAGATACTTTAAAGAATTTTAAAAGTGTTCATGGATATCAGATGCAACACATAGTCATAAATACTGAGATACAAGTAATGCTCTTTCCAGCCCATCCGTGCCAAGACAAACAATATCCTATCACAATTCATACTCAGTGCATGGATTGTAGTGTAAGATATCTGCTGGGACCATGGCTGGACCAAAATTAGCTAAGCCTCCTCTATTTCATACATTTTGAAACTTAGCAGTTCTCTCATAAACCATAAAATAATTTTAAAGTTTCAGCATCTATTTATTACTCTGCCATAATCCTCACTTACCTATGACTTTAAATGATTTCCTTTCAGTGCCCAATCCATGCTGAAAGCCCCTATGTTTAACTTCCAATAAAAGTTCGAATTTCTCCAGCTTCTGTATATCTGGATTTATGCAGATTTTCCACTGGAAGTCAAAATACTTTTTTGGTTTTGATTTCAACTCGGGATAAACTTTAAACATGTCCTCCAAGTTCCTGAGGAGGAGGACATTTTCATCATCTTCCATAGGTTCTTCAGCTGATGTTGTATCCCAAGAGGCTATTTTCTGTTTTGTATTCTGGGGTTCAGTTACTAAGAAGAGGTCTGCATGCAAAGGCTTCGGTCGAAAGTGTGAAATCAAGCATTGTAACGGCGTTTCTTCCTGATGCTTCAGTTCTTCACTGCCCACCATTTCCACGGATGGTGGATCTATAAAAAATAATGGAAAATGGAAACCTTGTTGCTTGAAAAAGGTTGCAGCAATATTTTAGGATCATTCTTTCCACATTTTACAAAGCATTATTCTACTTCTATATGTATTTCTATTTAATGCATTTCACTGCTGTGTTATTGTGCGTTTCTGAAACTGGCAAAAAAAAAATAGTATGCAGGCATAGTCTGCCCTCTTCCAATAACCAAACGCTCTTCTGGCTTAGGAATGAGGCAAAAGACTGGTAAACATTTATGGGGAGAGAAGTTCAGAAAAAATGACTGTTGTGTTCCTTGGCTTTATTTTCACTCCCACTAAGGAGAGACATCCATCCAGCCATCATTCTCTTTAACATGGGACAGAGCGAGTAGAGAGGAGGTGATTTCACACAGATGGCCAGACTAACAAGTTTACTCATCTGCCAAAATGTGCTCTGATTTTGTACTTGTGTTCTGCACAGGTACTACAGTTTGTTCCAGCTGATAATTAGGTTTCCTTTGGACTATAGTTTAATGCTGTTCTGGAAAATGATGTCTAAAAAGATTATATAGGTAATCCTCATTTAGTGATAGCCCTGTTTAGTGATCATTCAGTTACAATGGTGAAAAGAAAGTAATTCTGTAACCAATTCTTACATATATGACCGTCACAGGTCTGAAAAGCAAAAGGAAGATGAAGTAAGATCATAAGCACCATTTTACTTAGCGACTGCTTCATTTAATGGACAAGTTACCAGACCCAATTGTGATCGCTAAATGAAGACTATCTATAATTTGATAGGCACAACGTAATGCTTATATTTAATCTGTTTTCCATTTTCCCCTGTTGGTCTTTGCCTCTGCCTGGCTGTTTT